CTGTGGTTCCCGTGAGAAAACACAGCTTAACACCTGTTTCTTCGCCAAGATGCAAACCCACTTCCACGCCAATAACAGGGACCTCTGAAAAAGCTGATGCATCGTGGCGTCATGTAAGAATGGACTGGCGGTCGCCACCACGTGATGATCCAAGATTGGACCGGCCTCGAGGGAGGTCACCACGTCGTTACCGCTCATCGCGACGAAAATCCAAATCGCTCCAAAGAGACCTGACGAAATCGTCATGTCAAAAGACCCCGGAGTCTCCACAGCATGATGGATCGGAAGCTTCCCCTCGACATAGCCGACAATCTACGCCCGAACCAGAAGAAGAGTTGGATAACGACGAAAGGTCCCCTTCACCACTTGACTTGCGATATTCATCTAGGAAAATGGCGTCGGAGACTGCATGGGCTAGTGAGGGGACTGAAATTGCTAGTAAGAATGCTGAAACTCAAACTGACACTGATAGTTCTCGTTAAATAATTCAGTCAGTACTGCATGAACTTAGAACCGCTGGTTCCGGTGGGAAGGATACCTAGATGCCCATGGACGTTATTTTCTGTAAATGTGTTATATGCAGTTTGTAAATTGTTGTTAGATATCGCTCGGGGACCGAGCTAAGGAAAATAAGGGAGTTGTGTCACAAAATTGGTTTCATTTCGTAGTAGTTATTTCGGCGTAGATAGCGTAATTCAAGTAAAATATACGACGCTATATAGTCACGTGTTAATTTTAAGAATGTTCGATTGTGCATGTTTTTGACAGTTTTAGTGTAATTACTTTTCTACCATTAATAATTACTTGTTCTCTTTTGTTTAGTTTTATAGGATAAAACTAATGCTTTCATTTGATATATGGTTTGTTTCAATCTGATATTGTAAAGTGGAGTTATATCAATGTTTATGTAATTTTTGGAAACCTAACCAGAATAATAAATGTATAAGAAATGTGTATATAAATCAATTGTCCCACGTGTCGGAGAGCTTCCTGTCATAGTCTACATAATTGCCGTCGCCCACTGGGCACACTTACATTGTAAGGCAATTAGATTATGTTTGGATATTTGCCCAATAAAGTATTGCGTGCAACGAAATGATTGAGATGATCGTTTGCATGTCTTTCCATGGGGAAACCTAAAGTTGAAGTCTGATTTTAGGTGACGACCATGGTTAGAATCTAGGTTGTGTTTGTTGGTCTTTTACGTTCTAGTATTAGACAATACCAGGGGTTGCTCATTCGGTGGTCTAGTGATCGTGGTCTGGAGTAGACGGCTGGTAGGGACTACTGTGTAGCAGAGCCGTGGCATGGTCGAGTAAGCTGACTGTACGAAGTCAGACGGTCTGGTTGTTTGGAGGTGCATGAAGCAAACTGGTGCGGCCAATTGGAGTTGCATGCACAAGCAGACTGGTATAGACGTCTGAGAGGTGCAGAAGCGGACTGGCCTAGTCGGCTGGTGGTATACGACGGTACAACGGTTGGTAGAAGACGGTTGGTAGTGTCGACTGGACGGTGGTCGAGAGGTGGTGCGGAGCAATATATCAGACTGGTGTCAACGTCAACGGGGCAGTATATCTCTGCCAAACGGATCCACGGTGAAATTGGTACCGGACTAGGAAAACCTACCAGCAGAAGGCATCCTGACAAGAGAAGCTGCTGGGAAGAACATCGACAGGAACCGGTTTCGTTACAGTACTTTCATTCTTATGCATCACGTAAGAACACTGAATTGGATTCTTCAATGTTTGTTTTGATTAATTTTCTCCCCTTTCCTTCTCCCTGTTTAATACTGATAACATTTTTTGATCAAGGCAAAATATTATTTTCATATTTTCTTTATGCAAGACAGGGAGAGACAGAGAGAGAGAGAGAGAGAGAGAATATGTTAAGTGAGAATTTTCGAGTACAACTATGAATTGCATCCTTTTCAATATTATTAAATTCGCTGAAAATATTCAGAATATGAATATGATAAATCCACATAATTCACCAATGCTCCAACCATAGCCCATATGCCAATGCACTATATTTATCAAATATGACAAGATTTTTAAATGAAATTTGAAGAAAAATCAAATTTTCAATGCACAGACAGGCAACAGTTGAAAACATGAATTCTCTGTGACTGGCTTAGTACTAGTTTCTGAGGGACCAGTCACTGAAGAGGACATAAAGAGAAGGAAAATTGAGGAAGAAGTAAAGAAAAGAAGGGGGATATCAGTTGCAATTTTCCCGCCAACAAGTTGCGGACGGGGGTGGGGCAAAAGGCCTTTGCCTCCCCCCACCCCCGCTAAAAAAAAGAGAGAAGGAAGGAAAAGAAAAGGAAAGCTAAAAGGGTCCAAAAATGACGAAGAAGAAACAAAAGGGTGAAAAGAAGGGGAGATAGATCAGTTGCGGTTAATCCCGCCAGCAACGTGTGGAGAAGGGTGGGAGCCGAAAGGATCTTGCCTTACCCCCCCCCCCCCCCCCCCAGCAAACCTAAAAGAGAGAGAAGGAAGGGAAGGGAAAGGGAAAGAGGAGAGAAAGGGAATGAAAAAAAAAGAACGAAAAAAGGTAGGGGAGATCAGTTGCCAACAAAGTGTAAATCAGGGGGAGGGGGGGGGGGGGCACTGGCGTACTGATTGGGGAGGGGGCTCGGGGAAATAAAATTCAAACGTGGTTTATTTCTAATTCCATGACGGTGGTTTACACGTAATGCTGAAATGACAAAATTTTCTGAGATTTTTAGTAAATTATACTTTTTTATGCGTTTGTTGTAAAATGACAAATTCCTAAATGATGATTTTTTTTTTTTTTTTTTTTTTTTTGGGGGGGGGGTCTCGAAATTTGAAAATTTTTTCTCTTTGTTGGGGGGGGGGTGGAGGGGGGGGTAAGGTCACCTTTTTCAGGTCAGTCAATTTTTTTTTTTTTTTTTTTTATAATTATAAAAAAAAAAAAAACCCAAAGGGGGGGGGGGGGGGGGTTTCATAAAAAATACACACATAAAATTACTAAAGGGGGGGGGGGGTTCAACCCCTAACCCCCCACCCTAAACCCCCGACCGGGGTAAAATGCAATAAATTATTGAAAATTTATTGCATTTTCTGTTTGTTTTGTTTTTTAGTTGAGGGCGTAGGTCCCCTAGTTAATAAGCATAGTAGCATACACATGCTTTAGCAGTCACGCAAAACACACATTGGCAAATTATTCTTCAATACAATCTCAGAATGTATATTATTATCTAAATTTATTATTTTTAAATTATTTTTTAAATAATTCCATAAATTGGGATGAAATAAAAATTCCACCTTTATGAGCGACAGTGTATATTCAGTTTTCACACCCACCGGGGTATGTTCGGCGTTTCAAGAGGGAACAAATGCCGTCCTTAATATCATTTCAATTTGAAAGTCTGGTTTCTTTGATTGTTAATTAACCCTTATCCTGTGTATTTACAAGCAAAAGATTTTAGTTATCAGAATTGGGTCATATCCCATTTTGAATGGTTTGACATGCCATTACATTTATATACACTAAACTCATTATAATTTGAGAAATAATAGCTGTGCAATCATGTTCATTCTCTATGGGATGACGTCTGCTAGGGCAGTGTTGGTCCATATAGTGACGTCATTAAAACATTGTTATTTTTCCGGCGAATCTCTCGTACATCCCAGCTGCTATGGAGGTGGTTGTATTTGTCTTTTTATAAATCACCCGATATGTAGTTGACCTAAAACTTGTACGATGGCCATGTGTTAGCTTACCAGTTTCTAGTGATACATTAGTTGACATATGTGTGATCTTCTTTGAATTACACCTTTAATTAAAAAATAATTTAAAAAAAATTATGCCAATGGCTGGCCCCCCCCCCCCCCAAAAAAGTGACCTTACTCCCCCCTTCCCCCCCCCCCCCCCCACAGAGCAAAATGTCAATTTTTCAAATCCTGAGACCAAAAAAAAAAAAAAAAAAAAAATTATGCTAATGGCCGACTCCCCAAAAAAGTGACCTTACCCCCCCCCCCCCACCCCCTACGGAGCAAATGTCAATTTTTCAAATCCCGAGACAAAAAAAAAAAAAAAAGATTATGCCAATGGCTGACCCCCCAAAAAATGTCCCCCCCCCCCCCCCCCCCCCCCCCCCGCTTATTCAGCGGCTGGCCGAGTCGTTGCGAAATTTTTGGCCCATTTTCGAAATTTTAAACCCCCCCCCCCCCCTGAAAAAATCCTGCATACTCTACTGTGTGTAGGTCTGGACACATGGTAGCATTTTTCTATGCACATAACTTTTTCACTTGGCAGTTCCAAGGGAGATCGGGGGGTTAAACCCCCTAAACTGCCTAGATCCGCCCCTGCAACATCTTTGCTGATCTTCTTCTCAATATTGATTTATTGGTCGAGTTACATTATTTGCTGGTCTTTTAGAACAACCAGATTTCAGAGGATTCACACTTTTCACAACGAAAAACTTCTCCATGTTCAGTCCTTGCGCGATCGTCTCCAGCTCCAGCAGATATTGGGAGTCTGCGTGCACACCGGTACTACCAGCGCAGTATAGCCACTGCTGACGGCCACATTAGCTGCACTGCGAGCTTCCGTTGTTTGTATCGGTAATACTCATAGAGATGGGAGAGAAAGCGCCATCTTAGTTCCATTTCATTAGTTTTAGGTTTGAAAATTGATACTCAATTTTGTGTTAAAGTTATATAAGAAAAGATAATCTATATTTTATAATTCCACGTGGGCGATTTTAATTTTGCAATCGCCCCCGTGGACAACCTGACGGGGGCTATTATGGAGCTCATGGGGCGACTCGCTCATCGCCCCCGTGTATTTTGAGCACTGCTATTATTATTTTTTGGTCAATTTAGAGAGTTTCTGAAAAATCAGGAGCTGGAATATTAATAAGTAGAGGTGTATTCATGTTTTGAAAGACTATGTTAGTTGGGTTAGAGTGGCCCTTTAATGTGACCATTCATGATTTAATGTATTCATATTACGACTCCTTTGTATCCCTTCAGATGAGAGTTTACTGAACCCCATGGACGATCTAGACGAAGAAGGGGAGGATGTCAGAGAGCTGAATGTATCCACACGGTCTGGCAAGTCATTACCATATATGGGTAAGTCATTACCATGTATGGGTAAGTCCCATTTTTTCTTTGTCGTCTCTCTTCAAAGTATGTACTTTGCCTTAGTTTCAAATATTGTAATGTACTGTACATATGCTTCATGAATACTTATGTACATTTTTTTAATAAACCTAATTTATTCTCTAATTTTGAGTATTACTAGATGTATTTCTACTTGTAAAATGAATTATCCAAATTCATGAAGAAGATTTACGTCTAAGCTATGGCTTAAATCTTGTTTTAAACATTTACTGTAGGATAAAAGTTTAAAGGTATGCGAAAAAAAATCACATAGGCATTCTAAATTTATTTTGCCAATTCATTGGATCTTCTAAACATGTGTGTATTACAATTATGGAGATGTAAATGATAGTTATATAATATAAACCTCCGTCATTCATGAAGAATGATGAGTTGCCATAATCCTGGACACTAAAGAAAATCCAATCTAATCTAATTTTATCTCTCTTCCTCTCTATTTGTCTCTCTGTCTCTGTGTGTGTGTCCCTCTCTGTCTCTCTCTCTGTCTCTATCTCTCTGTCTCTGTGTTTGTGTCCCTCTCTGTTTCTCTCTCTGCCTCTCTGTCTCTTTCTCTCTGTGTCTCCCTCACTCTGTCTCTGTCTCTCTCTCTCTTTTACTCTCTCTGTCTCTCTCTGTCTCTCACTCTCTCTCTCTGTCTCTGTGTGTGTGTCCCTCTCTGTCTCTGTCTCTGTCTCTCTCCCTGTTTCTGTTTCTCTCTCTGCCTCTCTGTCTCTTTCTCTCTGTGTCTCCCTCACTCTGTCTCTGTCTCTCTCTCTTTTACTCTCTCTGTCTCTCTCTGTCTCTCATTCTCTCTCTGTCTCTCTCTCCCTCTGTCCCTCATCCCAGGTGCTGCAGCTGTAGGTGTGCTAGGAGCCGTTGTAGCTGGAGCCATGTCATACCTTGCCATCACCCAAGATTAATACCCCCCCCCTTTGTTTCCATCTCCCTCTCCCCATCCCTCCCCTCTCCCCATCCCTCCCCCCCCCCTCTCCTCCCTAGCCTCCATCCCTCCCTCCCTCCCACCCCTCCTTTCCCTACATCCCTCCCCTACATCTCTCCTCCATCCCTCCCTCTTATCCCCTCCCCCATACGCTGAAGAATGGGCCTACACATCAATAGTTAACCGTCAACATACGAGTAGATGCAGATAAATGTCATTTGTACCACAATTGTATGCAATCCACAGAGACAAATACTAGATGTGCGCTCACTGGATCTACATGTATGTGATCATTGTTTGCATAATGTGTACCCCAATGGTTAGTTCCATGATATATATATATATATATATATACATGTTATACATGTATGTGAAAGTGTTTGTTTTTTTAAACAGACATTTTGAACAATTTCCACTTAAAAGCGTAACTCACATTTTCTCATGGTAATACGGTGAGTAATTCTCACACTCTGGTTGGAACGAGCAGTAATACGTTGTGTCAAGTGACCTACTACACGAATACTAATGTCTGGAAATTTGTTTCAAAGAACTGAGAAGGCGATTCATTGTACCTAGAAAAACCCACCTCTGGAAATGGGCATGCTATTCTGTTAGAATTAGCATTATACTACGATTCCGGTGTGTTTCTACAGAAGCGGGTACCTGTAAAAGACCGGACAAATGTAGAAAATAAAAGTATTTGAATGGCTGTAGAAACACGCTGTATGTTTATACACTCTCTTTCAAAACTTATTGATGGGATAGATAGATACATGTAGATTTATAACGATGGTTCCTTTTTATTCTTAAAGGTAAAGACCAGTATTGGAAACGCCCCAATTTCAAAAAATGAAATGGAATCTCTCATTACCAATCATGTGAAAGAATATGTTTTGACTAATACATGATGATAAAAAATTTGCCGGGAAACCGCCTACTAATTCATATATTTGTTAAATTTGTTTCTCTCATGGTCTGTGAGCGATATAGGGTAGTCCCATATACATCTTTCTGTGTATAGTGCTTGTAACTTTACGAAGAATGGGCCAAATTTCTTATCATTTTGATGATTCCAGAACCTTGCAGATGCTAGATGCGAGATGATCAACCTTTTCTGATCGATTCCACAACGTTTCTTTCACAATGCAATCGCGTGACCATAACTGGTCTTTACCTTTAAACTTGTATGCTTTGTTTCAGTCTTTGATTATTATTTTCTGTCAGTTCTGTCACGGTAACTCTTCAACAGCTTTGGTAAACTAGTGGAACACATAACAGCACTCATAATGAACTTTATTTCTATAGCGCGTATCACCAAAAATGCAATCCCTATGTTCTAACTATACATTGTGCAAGACTGATTTGGGGTTGAACCTAATTCTCACGATCACCCCACTTTTAAATTATCTGATAGGTAATTTGTACAAAACTGTAAAACCTATTGAGACGACTGCTGGATACGTGTTCATGAAAGTTATGTAATAATTACTCATTTATGCACCGACCATTCCATGATACACAGGGGGAAGTATAGAATACCAAAGTGCTTACATCATATTCGCTCATCTTCCAGGTTACTGGTTCCAAACAACAGAGCCTGCGCATGAGGTTCACCCCAAAACCATTCAAGCAACGGCTGGAGCGTGGCAAGTTCAGTGTTTGGTGCTTGTATGGTCGCCATGCCATAGTTATAGCCCCAAAAAAGTTTGGAACCAGCAACCTTGACAACATGACCAGTATGACATCACACTTTGGCCAGTATGACATTACACTTTGGTATTCTATTCTTTTCAAAAGGTATTCACAAGGCACCTCCATGGCTTCGGTAGTGATTATTCTAAAATATGGGACAAATATTCTTGGACTAACCCAGATATACATGTAGATAGTCACATGGGCAGAGGTCAAAGGTCATTATCATCACTTAAGTTAAAACTTGAGTAATATTGATAGGAAAAAATCATTTTCCTTTAGTTTTTATAGATGTATGTTTCATTAGTGCAAATTCAAATATAAAAACATTCCTTATAGTGATAGTATTTTCTATAGATGTATCTTGATAATGTTTTTCTCTTTCATTTTAGTTTTTGGTTCTGCATGCAATCTATGTACATTAAGAAATATATAGAATAAAGATTGAAAAGATATCAAATAGTCATTTTCTAAAACTACTATGGAATGTAGTTGTATTAAAAGTGATTCAATATTTTCTAATTAAAGTTGTCTTCTCTGCTTTCTTTGTCCGACACACTTGTAGTCACTAAGCCCTAGCTCTTGGTGTAATTTTTGGTTTTGTTGTTTGTCATTCACCCTCTCTCTGTGTGTCTCTCTCTCTCTCTCTCTCTCTCTCTTTCTCTTTCTCATCTCTCTCTTCACATTTTTTCCTATTTCTCTTATCAATCTGTTTGTTTTCTGTAATATAGCTTGTCACAATATTTTGATCCCGTTTTGGAAGGAACGTATTTCTCTCTGTCCTATACGTGCCCCCCCCCCCCTTCTCTCTCTCTCTCTCTCTCTCTCTCTGTAAAAATTTAGGGACGGATGTGTTTGATATTCCATTATAAGTGAAGGTGCTATTTGAAAGATGTAAAACTAAGAACCGAGGAGCTAGTATCCTTTATTTTTTGTTAAATCATTATAAAGCGGAAGTTAGATTTTGTCTATGCCTCCCCTATTCTTCTTTTTGTTTTTGGCATTACAGAAAATTATTCTTGGTATCTGTCATTCTCCATAGAACATTTTTCGCTTACAAAATAAGCACTGTTCAGTGACCCAAATGCTTTGATATGTTTCTATATAGCTTACATACTACGTTTACATTACATACATGATTGTATGATCTATTTTTCCTCACAATAACAGAAGTATGGTTTGTCTAGAGTAAAGGACATGTAATAAGGAATCATTGTGGAAGTAGGACCTCCTGTGTTTTTAAACATCTATCAAATATAATCTATTACTTTCATATGTATTGATTAGGCTATAAGTATAATTGTATTGAGTCTCATCTTACGTAATGTATCTTTACACTTTTGTATCTAATGTATTGTTGAGAATAAATAATAACATAACATTCCAAATCAACAACGACAACAAATACAACCCTCCCCCCCCCCCCGATAAAAAAACCCCAGCCACTGTGGAATGGACAGCTCTCTACCCAAGCAATGTGTGTTTGTGTGTACGTGTGTGTGTGTGTGAGCGTATGTGTGTGTGTGGGTGTGCGTGCGTACGGGTGTGTGTTTGTGTGTTTGTGTGTAATTGGGACAAAGGTGTGAATGATACTTAATTTTCATTTCTTGATGAAAGGATATAATCAAATGTACATAGCGCTCTTTTCGAGACACCTGTAAGTATGGATCTTTAGTGACTGGTCCCTCAGAAACCAGTGCTAAGCCATTCAGTGGCGGATCCAGGGGGGGGGGGGGGGGCGGGGGGCCCGGCCCCCCTGGAAAAACCGTGATTTTTACCTTTTAAAAATGTGCTCAATTAACAGCCTTGGTGTATTTTGTGGATTTATCATATTTAGATTCTGAATATTGAAAAGGATGCCAATAATAGTTGTACACAATAATTGTCAGTTAACATATTTTCTCTCTATCCCTCTTTCTTCCCCTCTTGTATAAGGAAAATATGAACAATTATATTATTGGGCTTTTACTAAGACAAATTGGACATTTTATCAGTTTTAAGCATGGAGAAAGAAATGGAGAGGGAATACATCACAACGAACGTTTAAAAAACCCACTAGATTTTCATTCGTGATGGATACGAATGCAAATATGGTTAAATGTGAAATAAGTAATTATAGAGCGATGATAAATAAACTCTTTGACGTTGATTCATTCACTTGTTTGGTTTGGATGATTGCCATGGCAATGATTAAAGTTTGAATAAAAATAATCAAACGAGGTGTTCTGAGGTCATATTTTTAGACACGTTGTTCGATTTTACAAAAAATGCGGTGACTTGTTCTTTACGAGCAGATGGCAGATAAAACTAGAAGCCATCTGGACAGTACTTCACCAGAAAGCTGGATAGAGACACTTCGTCACATCAAGCTACGAGAAAGTATATGATTATCTCACCGGCGAATTCTACTCCGCAACGAAATCAGGTAGGCCCAACTACCCCTTAAACGTGATGTCTGTTGTATACGAGGCGTCTTTCTGACTGCGTCAGTTTGAAATTGTATTGATAATGATTATTTAGGAGTGCTAACACCAAAAGTACCTTATTGCTTACAAAGTAACAGAATGTGAATTGCAAAGTGTTTATGATTGTTTATTTCTTCTAAAATCATTTTGCCAACTATATCTTTGATATTTATTTTTTTTTTTTAAAGTGAACTTCAATTTGTAACTGATATCTATAAATGTATTTTCTTATCATATTTTAATGGCCAAGAATATTATTTACAAATTCTGCATGTAAAAATCAATTCTTGTACACATAACAATGTGAACGATATTATTTAATAAAAGATCCCTGTGGAAGGGGGAAAAATGTTGTAAACATTCATTGGAAATACATTTTAAGAAAACGATGGGCATGTATGTTCAGTTTTTCAATGCATTCGTTAATGATACCGTTTTTTATGATACATGTTCTGCCGTGCCTTCATCTGAGCCGAACAGGAATCTTTTTAAAAATATTAAAATATCGTATATTTTTTTAATTCATACGTCTAATGCATGTATTATACACACGAATATGCATAGAATATGAATGATAATTCAGTTGTTATTTTTATTATAAAAGTGGCCACTTGAAATAACACTCAATCACATGAAAGAAAATAATGTATTTTTAATTTCAAACGTAAATAAAACATAACATTTGACCTGTTCATGTATGAAAATGTATTTGTTAAAATATAATAGTTACATTCACTGCGTACATATCCGCTTCAGGTTATGCAAAATCTAGATCTGGATTATTATCATTGAATAGAAACCAAACAGATAGTACAAATCAAATTAAATGAACAATCATTGTGAAAATTGAAGAAATAAAAATATGCATACATACGCAAAAAAAAAAAAAAAAATGTGAAGAGAAACATAAAACTCATAGATATATGTTTTAAAAGAGTTGGGTTAAATTTTACACATAGGAGGTAAAACAAAAATAGGACCATACATATGGTTTGTTGGGTTAGACTTTATACCAACACTAGTTAGTGTTTTAACAAAAATGGGTACATTTTACCCTACAAACATGTTAAAACAATTAGTATTTTTAAAGCAAATTACAATATAGAAAGGTAGGTTTAAGTTAAGTGTGTCTGAGTAATGTTATACAACGTGGTATTCTGTAATGTCTTGAGGCAAGGACATTCTAAAACAAACGCAACTTCACACTTCCAAATTACATGATCAAACTTTATTCATAGTCCTGTAGAAGTTTTTCAGTTATGCTGATACTCTTAATTGTGTTGCAATTTCACCGTAGCTTTGACCAAATGATCAAAATGTATTCCATGTTGATTCTATTTTCCTTAGACCTTGAAAATGGCTTCAAAAACCCTGATTGCTCTCTACTTTCTGATTGCCTTGGCCGTGGCAGCAAGTGTTTTAGTCGAGGACTCGGATGAGTTTTACAATGCTGATGCGTTGAATGTCGATGAAGATGAGATCAACAATTCTGATGCGTTGAATGTCGAGGGAGATGAGATCGAGAGCGACATGCACGAAACAATTATAAGAAAGAACAACAAGAAAGAAGAAAAAAAAAGTAAGCAATAATGTGTGATGTTGTCAACCAACTAATCGAATAACTAAAGCATAATAATTACAAAACAATCAACCTCAAGAAATTTCCAAAAGCCGTATGCTTATGCGGTCACCTATTAAAATGTGCAAACATGATAAATGATGTTTTTTACATCATCCGATCGAACCGATTTGAAGAAAGTGTGCGCTGAGGTTTCATGATAGAGAAGGGAATGTTTCATGATAGAGAATGGAAGTTGTCAAATTTGAATGCTATCAGAGTTGTTTTCAGTGTTGAAATTATATGCATGTTATTCTCTTTCCATTCCCCCTAAAACAATAACCTTAAGAGGATCTAAATACGTAATTCATAATTATTCAATTTACATTGGTAAACAAAAAAAGAAAAACAATTTAAATCAGTTAAAATTCCGGAGAAAAACGCTAAAGAGCATTTGATAACGTGATTTTTTATCTAAATTCAGTTTGTTTATAAAAATGTGCCATATCGAAAAGATATTGTACGTTTTCCCTTGAAATGAATTCTACATATGCAGTGTATATATTGCTTATTGTGTTTATGTAATGATTATATATTTTGTATTTGAGCAATTAGAGTCTATACCAAGAATCAAATGTTTTTCATTTAATATCATCGATCGTTTGAAGTTACAGTGAATAAATGAAACAATGCGTTTCCAGAATAATATTACTTTGGGGCATTCTAACAAAACATAAACGAATGATTCTGTTGTTTTGCAAAAAGCACACACATTTTCACTAATAACTTTTCATTTACATAAATGACATCTGAAGAGTAGTATACAGTGCAGGCGCGGATCCAGGATTTCTTAGGGGGGGGGGGGCCCAAATTTGAAATTATGCGAGCCAAATATTGGTACATAATGGTGACCAGCAGTGATGTAATTAGGGGGGTGGGTGCAGGGAGGGCGTGTTTCCCACCCACCCTCCTCCGCGAAGTGCGGAAGCTTTGACATTTCAATAAATTATTAGAGAAAGAAGACGATTCGTTTTACCGTTCCCAAAAATAATCCTCGTCTGAATTATGTCCCCCCCCCCCCCCTCGCGCGGAAGCTTTAACGTTTCATTCAATCATTAGAGAAAGAAGACAATTCGTTGTGTCGTGTTATCGACTCCTAATCTTCGTCTAAATTCAGTTTCCCCCCTCCCGCGCGAAGCGCGAAAGATTTTTTTAGAGAAAGAATACCAATCGTTGTAACGTTCTCGACTCTTAATCCTTGTCTGAATATCAAAAATGTTCTTTGTCTACACCCTTTTCTTCATACGTCCCCTTCCTTTTCACTCCTCTATTTTTTTGGCCGGCGGTTTTTGGGGGACCATACTGCCCCCCTGGCTACGCGCCTGCAGTCAGATGAACATATTATGTTGATACCTTGTCCGCCCCCGGAAGGTCAGGGGTTTAAGGCAATAATTTACGGTCAGATTAGCACTCAGGGGTCCGCCTTAGGGCCCTAGGCGGGGTCCAGAGGGCAGAGCCCCGGAAGTTCAGGGGTTTTAGGCATTTAATTACGGTCAGATGAGCATTATTTTGATACCTAATTGTGACACTGGCAGGTCCCTAATTGGCGTGGGGTTCAGGGGTCGGAGCCCTTGGAAGCCCAAGGGTTTTAGGCACTCAATTATTCTACCTCATCGTATGGGAAATGTTGTTTCCACAGAGTTTTTGGATAATCTAATTACAAAAATAATGATAGCATTCAAGAGAGTGCGTTTCTATCTACTAGTAGGTGTTTTTAAAGTTTTTAATTTAGGCACAGGCTTTGGAGTTATAGTTTAATGGATTTTGTCTGACATTTTCTTGGGTTATGTAAAATGGATTTCAAGTTTAAAGATAATAGTCACGTTTGTATAGAGCTCCTATGTGTCTAAACGCCTTACATATTACCCCGGTCATTGGATTCCATTGCTAACAAAAAGTCGTGTATAGGTTTACTAGGAGATCCTCTCCGAAGCCGCTATCAATGTTATTGGAGACAGTCGAGTTATGGTACGTTGTTCCTTAATCATGGTCTATATAGCTCTTTGAGCAAATGCTGAACCGTGTATAATATTTTGATTATGATCTACGCGTAAAAACACATACACATATCAACATATAATTTAACTCGTGATTAAAAATGTGGATTTTCTATACCTTCACATTTTGTCTCATTTACATATAGATAGAACTTTTCTTGGCCACAGAAACCAACTCTCCTTTAAACACAAGTGCCATATGGTATTACTTTATCTCCCATGTCATTGATGGTTATTAGGTGGTTATTTTACCTGACTGCTTAAAAAGCATAATGCTTGTAAGTAAGCAACCAGACGGCCGACCAGGCGCGGATTCAGGATTTCTTGGGGGGGGGGGGGGGGGGCCAAATTTGAAATTATGCAAGCCAAATATTGGTACGTAATGGTGACCAGCAGTGATGTAATTGGGGGGGGGGGGGTGGGTGCAGGGAGGGACGAGTTTTCCCCCTCCCTTCTTCGCGAAGCGCGGAAGCTTTGACATTTCAATAAATTATTAGAGATAGGAGACGATTTCTTTGTACCGTTCCCCAAAATAATCCTCGTCTGAATTATGTTCCTCCCCCCTCACGCGGAAGCTTTTACGTTTCATTAAATCATTAGAGAAAGAAGACGATTCGTTGTGTCGTTATCGACTCTTAATCTTCGTCTAAATTCAGGTTCCCCCTCTCGCGCGAAGCGCGGAAGATTTTACGTTTCATTAAATTATTAGAGAAAGAAGACGATTCGTTGTAACGTTTTCGACTCTCAATCCTTGTCTGAATTTCAAAATGTTCTTTGTCTACTCCCTTTTCCTTTTCACTCCTCTCTTTTTTTGGCCGGCATTTTTTTGGGGACCACCCCACCGCCCCCCTGGCTACGCGCCTGCGGCCAGATGAACATTATGTTGATACCTTTTCCGCCCCGGAAGCTCAGGGGTTTAAGGCAATAATTTACGGTCAGATTAGCACTCAGGGGTCCGCCTTAGTGCTCTCGGCGGGGTCCAGGGGCAGAGCCCCCGAAGTTCAGGGGTTTTAGACATTTAATTACGATCAGATAAGCATTATTTTGATACCTAATTGTGACACTGGCAGGTTACTAATTGGCGTGGGGTTCAGGGGCGGAGCCCCCGGAAGCCCAAGGGTTTTAGGCACTCAATTACGGTCAGATGAGTATCAAGGGGCCCGCCTTAGGGCTCTTTGTCGGGTCCAGGGGGCAGAGCCCCCGGAAGTTCAGGGTTTTAGGTGTTTAATTACGGTCAGATGAGCATTTTTTGATACCTTATTATTTTGTGACACTGGCAGGAAACTATTTGGCGTGGGGTCCAGGCGGCAAAGCCCACAGAAATCAGGGGTTTTAGGCATTAAATTACCAACATATGAGCATCTAAGGGTCCGCCTTAGGGCCCTAGGTGGAATCCAGGGGGCAGAGCCCTCGGGGTTTTAGGCATTTAATCATGGTCAGATGAGCATATTTTGATACCTCATTATAATGTGACACTGGCAGTTAACTATTTTTTTTCTTTCTTGCTCTCTTTCTTTCTTTTTCTCTTTAATATACTTTTTCAAAAAAGTGGGTGGTGGGGGGGGGGGGGGGGGTGGGGGTTCGAGGATCCCGATCCCCGCCGTTCCGCGAGCCCTGACATGAAGGCATCTCAAGAAGCATTTCCTTGTCTGGCTGTAAATTTAGGAGTTTGTCATTTTCCAACAAACGCATTAAAAAAGTATAATATACTTAAAATTATGTTATTTCAGCATTATTTGTAAATCACCGTTATAGAATTAGAAATAAACCACGTTTGAATTTTATTTCCCCCCCCCCGATCTACACCATGTTGGCGGGAAAATTGCAACTGATATCCCTTACCTTTCTTCATTCTCTTTCTTTTTCTTTCCCTTTCTCTCCTCTTTTCCTTTCCCTTCCCTTCCTTCTTTCTCTTTTATGTTTGCTGGAGGAGGGCAAGGTCATTTTGGCCCCACCCCGCTCCACACATTGTTGCATGGCGGGATTAAACCGCAACTGATCTCCCTTTCTTTTCTACTTTTTCTTTCTTCTTCCTCTTTTTTGTGCCCTTTTAGCTCTCCTCTTTTAAGGCAAGAGCCTTTTGTCCCCCCCCCCCCCCTCCGATCCACAATCTGTTGGCGGGAAAATTGCAACTGATATCCCCCTTCTTTTGTTTTCTTCTTTCTCTTTCTTCCTTCCCTTTATCTCCTCTTCTTTTTTGTCTTTCCCTTTCCTTCCTTCTATTTTTAGTTTTTGATTGGGGGAGGCAACAGCCTGGGAGGCAAGTCCTTTTGCCCCACCTCCCCGATCTCCTTCATCCCTCTTTTCCTTTCTTCTTCGTCTTCTTTTTTTCCCTTTCTCTCCTCTTTCCCTTTCCCTTCTTTTCCCTCTCTCTGTCTCCTTTTTTTTTGCGGGGGGGGGGCCAAGGCCCGCTCGGCCCCCCCCCTGGATCCGCGCCTGATATTACAGTGAAGTACTTTCAAATTGAATGGTTTCACTTTATTGCTTTGTATTACCTTAACTTTGAATTTCAATATCTCTCTCGAGTCAAAATCGATAGGAATGTTACATTCTTCTTCCCAATGCCCTAATACAATTGGATTACTTTCCTTGAATTCACACAATAAACTATAACAATATTTTGATTTCATTGATGATAATCTAATAGCATCACCTGTTCTGACTTCAAAAAAAGTAATTACCATAATCGTGCACAACACATGTTTCGTCCTCATGCTGAGTGATGAACCTCTAGATAAATTCGTGTGATCCATGTTTTAGGGATAGTTTCCTGTATAAAATGTCCATTTTCTATAATATCATTAAATATGAAAATCCCCTAGGTAAATCATTTTTTAGAAATATAATGTTTTGCTGTCAAGTTGTATATTGCTATTGTACCCTCTTTCTTTATTTTGAATTATTTTTAACGTTTGAAAATTCAACATTTCTAAGTTCACTCCAGGAAACAAGCAAATTAACATTAAAATCAGGTATATTGTGTTTTGAGCAACGCATCAACATATCTTTAAGAAAAGATTTTTTTGTTGATATCAAAGACAACGGACATATTTGTACAATCGAATATTTAAACATGTATTTCCAAGGTATGGGTATTTTCTTAGAGCCTCGAGCTTTCAGTATTTAGAGACTTGACAGTAATACTGTATATATTACTACTCTGCCTGATTTTCAAGGCCATAACTTTAACAACATGAATAAACAAAAGTGCAGAAAACGGACAGCCTTGTCTAAATCCCCGCCTTATTTGAAATTGTTTATACACCCAACCATTGCTAATAAAACTATCAATCGCATTAGTATAAATTACCTTGATCCAGCCATTGAATGATTCTTTAAAATTAAATTTATATAAAAACTAAAACAAAAAATCATGATTAACCATATCAAAAGCTTTTTTTTAATTAAGAAAAACAAAAATACCAGGAAGATTTCCATATTCACAATATTAAACAATATCTTGGACTAAACGTAAATTTTTCTTAGCTGAACGTTGCTGCAAATAACCTGACTGATCAAAAGATACCAATTTATCTATAACATATCTCAGTCTTTTAAATACCTCCTTTGGTAGAAATTTAGTATCCAATTATCTAAAATACAATTATCCCCTTTCTTATATAACAACGTAAGAACCGCTATTTTAGAGGTTTCTGTTAATTCTTTTTGTTTAAAACCTTCATTAATACATTTTATTGCCGATGTTTTAATTTCTTCCCAAAGGCATTACTAACATTTTACAAATAGACCAGCATTACCAGATGACTTATTGTTTTTCATAGACAAAATAACTTGCCGAAATTATTGTTCAGTAATCAGTCCTTCACAAGACAACGCTTCGTTTTCCGTTTAAGTAGGTAGTTCTATTTTATACAGGCTAGCTCCATCTATAAAACTTTTATATTTCACTAAGGATTGTTTCTTGGTTTGTAATACGTTTCATTTCCTTTTTAATACAATTAATTTCTTTCCTCTTTCCGTTTCTTTTTTAGTCTTCAGAAAATATTTCGTTGATTTTTCACCATATTCCATCCATTTTAGTCTTGATCTAATGAAAGCTCCGCTACATTTATATGTTAACAATTGATCTTATTCATTTTAATTTTTTCCCTTTTCTCTAAATTTTCTTCAGGTGGATTTTCGCCATTTTCATTACTAAACTGTAGTTGTTCAAAAATTTATTCTTTTTTGCATTTTGCTTTCGCTTCGAATATTTTGTAGTATATCCTTTAATTTAGATTTTGCACATTTCCCATTTCATTTGCGCATTTGGGTCTGAATTGTCTAATTTGAATTTACGAATCAAATTTGTATATTCACCTTAAAGTCGGCATTCTGAAAAAGTGAATTATTAATTATTATTCCATGAACCACATCCTTTAAAAGTGTTAGAGGTTTTCAGTTTTAAGGTGACTGCACAATGGTCATATTTTGGAAGTGGTTTTATTTTAGTTGTTTGCATATAACACAAACGTGAATCTGTTACAAGCTAATAGTCAAGAAGTTAAATATATTTAGTGGCAATTAACGTCAAGAGTATTGTTGCCTAAATGGAAGCATTTTTCGTCAAACATCAGTAAACGCTTGATCGATTTCCTAAACCACTCAAGCTGTTTATATGCATACGACAGGGTGTCTGACAGGGTGTCTGACAGTGAAGTCTAGAAGGTAAACGGGTTTCCTTGCATAATCCCTGCTAATGTTTACTTTTCACACTTTTTCACAGATAGGACATACATGTATGACATTTTCATAATCTCTCCAAAGTTCTACAGAATTTGAGGTTGGCTGCAAAAGGGACATATAAAGTATCTTTAACATGGGATATGGTTTTGAAATGTTACTGTTTAGACTGGATGCCAATTTATTGTGTCGCTATGGTACACATTTTTTTGTGTGGATACCCCCCCCCCTGATAATAGGTACCCTTTTCCGCAAAAATGACCCTGAAAATTGGGTATAGGTTGGGTGGCTTCCGAGCGGCACAGCCCCGCCTGAACCAAATCTGCCGAGTGCCCCCCCCCCCCCAGCAATCCCTTTGATAAAAAGCTTAATTTTAATTGCTTATTCATCCCTTTGATCATTACCGGATCATTTCTTTGATGAAAGGTCAGTTTGTTACGGGTAAAATCTGCTAGTTTGTATAATACGCATGCTGTGACCCAGTGAAACCAGTGGCCAAACTCTGTGCCCGTGAAAGGTCACGGATACTCCCGGGTGTAAGTGAGAGTATCCACACGGTCAACGCTACCATCTAGTCGTGTTAGCGAATTACTCCTGGATTTTACCAGGAGTAAATGGGTTTGGGTAAAGGTAGGTTTAGCTAATAACACGATCATCGTTCAGACGGTCACTACTCCGACCTCTACACCTACCTCACCATATTTACCGCGACTAGCTCTTAACACGACCTTTACCCCAGGGTAACTTGCCTCCGTCTGAACAAGACTATAGTGTCAAATACGGGTAGAACCAGGCGCGTACGCAGGGGCTTTTTATGTTTATGTTTTGTGTATGTTTTGGGTAACTCCCACCCCCCTTTAGATTTTTTGACCCGATGGGTCAAAATTTCAAATTTCGGGACCCCCCCCCCCCCAAAAAAAAATGTCCTCTTACCCCCCCCCCCCCCCTACCCCGCTTATGCAGCGGCTAACTGAGTCGTTGAGATTTTGTGGGATCCCCCCCCCCCCCCGCTTATTCAGCGGCTGGCTGAGTCGTTGCGAAAAAAATTGGCCCGATTTAAAAAAAAACCTTGAAAAAATCCTGCGTACGCCACTGGGTAGAACAGTGTTTTGTTTTAAATTGTAATCCAGTTGTGATAAGCTTCATTCTCTCCTCTTGGTGTTACAGGCTTGCACTCGGCCCTACCCTATGGCAACGAATAGTTTCGATAAGGCGCAATCTGCACCTTGGACTCGACCAAAAGGTATGTTACCGTTTAGGATGTCGCTGTTTTAGCGTACATCGTGAATCTGCGATATGAATTTCTTTTAATAATTAAAATAAAATATATGAATATCTGTCCAATCGAGTAAAAATTAAGTTAATTTCCGTATTAATATATTGTTGTCTCTCTGGCGATGATATCGTCACTAAATATGTCTTTTTGTGGATATTTTCCTTCCAAAAAAAGACGAAAATAACAGCAGTTTTTAGGGCCTATGAAAGTCTTGACGTGATCTCTGATCTCTCAAAGTACATAATTGTATTGGTAATATTTACGATGGTTCACCGGCATGGTAATTATAAATGAGTTTGTTGTTTTAAAGACTACAAAAGAGTACTAAACAATCATGACACAAGATGGCTTTTAAGTTTGCACACTTTGGATTTAAAAAAAGACTGTGCATAACATTTAAAAAAATAACATTATGAAGGGCATGTTTATTTCCTTAAAGTCAGGCTCGAACAACCATTGTTTAACAATAGTATGATAAAACAACTAAGCACGGCATGATAACTTCCTCTGTTTTAGGATTGACCTTTCGGATAGAGGGAATGGAGTTCTTTTTAATCAAGTATAGTTACTTATAATAATTGACAGAATTATCCAATCCGTACATTTCCAATATGTATCTTCACAATCTTAAAAGAGTTGCTTGAAATTTTACACATAAGAGGGAACAAACGGACCGTGCATGTTTGTTGGGTAAGAGTTTACCAACACTGGGCAATGGTTAACTAAAGATGGGTAAATTTCACCCAATACACATGCATATTCCCATTTATACCTCGTTTGTGCACAATTTTACCTATTATTCTTAACTGCTCTAGGAGTGCACCTACACACCTAATTTGTATTTATTATCCCGCTAGCAGAATTACAACATATTGTATCTCATTTCTGTTTCTGAAATGCAATCGGTGCATGCACAAACACCCGAGAAAAAAAATCATATATTTAATAAATGTTTATATTTACCCTTTACTTTTATTTTAACAGCGTCGTAATCCTCCCCAGGAAGCAGACGAGTTAGATCTTCTCCATGTGGTCAGACGACTTCTCTGTTTATTGAGACTTTTTTCACATTAATGAGAAAAATATTTTAAAAATCATTGGTATAATCAGTCATCACTGAGATTAACCCTAAGTCCAACGGGTTCATAACCTTGCCTCTAAAATATAAAATTCAATGAATATATATATATATATATATATATATATATATATATATATATATATATATATAAAATGCAATTTTATGCCTACTTGTAGCCCAATATAGTTTTGTGTTGACAGCAGGTTAGCCAATTAACCGGAAAATTTGATCGTTTGATATAATCATCGAGTACGGTTATGTGCTTCATACGATAAATCACGAAATACTTCTGTACAAACTTTCTAACTACGGAATCAGAGGATTATCCTTAGAATGGTTCAAGAACTACCTCCACAATAGAAACCAATACATTCTCATATACGATGCACATTCTTCTATAAAGACCATTGAATGTGGCGTGCCTCAAGGTTCTATTTTAGGTCCGTTACTTTTTATTGTTTATATTAATGATTTTTATATTAATGAAATTTTACTGAGAACGATTAACTCTCAATTACGAGAAGTTGCTGACTGGATCAAGGCAAATAAATTGTAACTGAATTTACAAAAAACCAATGATATGCATTTTAGTAAACTAATTACCAGGAAATATTCTACTTGATAATACTGTCATACAACAAGTCTCTTCTACGAAGTTTCTGGGAATAATAGTAGATGATAAGCTTTCATGGAAGCTGCATGTTGATAATGTTTGTAAAATCAACTCTAGAAATATTGGTATTTTACAAGGTAAAATGTTTTTTTCCATCTCGTATACTGCTTAATTTATACTCAACTTTAGTACTTCCTTATACTTAGATTATGGAATACTTGCGTGGGGCACCTGTGGAAATACTCAACTCAATAGAATTTTACTGTTGCAAAAGAAAACAATGCGAATCATATGTCACACTTATTTTCGCGCTCATAGTATTACTAATGAACTCTTTCACGCAAATAATGTTTTGAAGATTCGCGACTTATTTTCATTGGGTATATTTATGTACACACTAGAAAAAATGAATTGCCACAAGTTCTCTCAAATATGTTTAACAAAAATACTGAATTCCATAGTTATCCCACGAGAATAGCAAGATGTTATTACCTACCAAAACCAAGAACGGTATTTTCCTGCAAGATTTTCACTTTCACTGGCCCAACATTTTGGAATGCCCTTCCCGGCACATTAAAAGAAAAACCCTTATTAAGTGGTTTCAAAAATGCCCTCAAGCACTTTTTTTTGCAAACGAATCAGAATAAGTAGTTCCCCGTTTTTGTTTTCTGGTTTCGTTTTCCCCCGTAATTCGCCAAACTGGCCATTTTTTCACATCGTAACTGTGACTTGCATATGATTTGTTTCCATATAATACTAATTAAAAATGATTCCTCTATGGCCACCGTTTCTTTTTCTCTCCCTCTCTGTCTCTTTCTCTGTCTCACTCCTCTTACACACTCTCTCTGTCTTCTGTATTCATTAATAGAAATCAATGATCTAAACAATATGTTCGGATTGTAAATTGACACATTTGTAATCAGGTGCTTTCTTCTCTGTCACATAATGCACAAGACGGTCTCATTAAATGGAATGGCGCAATAATTCCTCCTCGTATTATTTACTTTTGTTCATTTCGTGAGAGTGGTAACGATATATGAAAATAGAAGGGAGACAGAGAGACAGAGAGACAGAGAATGACAGAGAGAGAAAGAGAGAGAAAGAGAGAGATGGGGAGAGAGGGAGATAGACAGGGAGCAGGCATATCCAGCATTTCTTAGGGGGGGGGGCATTTTTTTTTTTTTTTTTGCTCCCGAAAATTCGCTCAATGGGTGGAGGGGGGGGGGGCACATATTTGTTTTGGCTCTCGAAAATTTAAAAAATCGCACCCTCCCCCCCCCCTCCCCGAGCACCGGGGGGGGGGGGGCATCTCAAAAAAGGGGAAATTACACGTTTTTTTCGCAGCCCCCCCCCCCCTGGATCCGCCACTGGGAGATTGGAGCAAGCTTGTATAAAAGAGGATAAGAGAGAGAGATTGTAGCAAGCGTGTATAGAAGCGGATACGAGAGAGAGAGAGAGAGAGTGAGTGAGAGAGAGAGAGAGAAAGAGATGGAGAGAAAGAGGGGGGTAGACATTGATCAGGCATATTAATAGAGGAGATAGATAGATATTGGAGCAAGCCTATTTAGTCTATAACCTGGCCTATTGAATTTTGATCTCCACACCTAGGCTGGTGAGCATTATGAGTTTGTTGATAACGCCATCTTCGGAGGCTTGAATCAAGTGTATGGAACAGTAGGTTGTGTAATTAAAATTTACGCGAACCCGCCAGATTCTGGACTAGCCTGTATAGAGGATATACGAGAGAGAGAGAGAGAGAGAGAGAGAGAGAGAAGAGGAAGAAACTGGATGGAGGAAAGTGATAGAAGCCCTTCCTCCTCATTCTATGGTGATGCTGTCTTGAATTAATTTAATCTGCCGAATAAGTCAGGTCACCCCCCCCCCCAAACCAGTTCCCACCTCCTAGATGGATGTACCCATGCTACAGCGCTTGTGACCTCAAAAACCATGTTATTATGTAGTTTATTAATGTAGACCTAAACCACTTCAATGCAAAACAATGCATGGTTGTTGGTTGATTGGCCGACCACGGTTTCTCTTTGAAACTGGGATTACCTGAATTATTTATGGACCTAAATATGGAATTATTAATTTATGAGAGAACAACTTGTCTTTTTGTATTTTTTTATCGATGGAAGAAGAGCAATTATCCAAAAATATACCTCCTTCTAAAAAAAGTGATATTGATTAAAAAAATATATAAAAGAATGTGAGGGGCTGCAAGGGGCAAAAATGGGTAAGAGTTCTACAATTCTCACCATAGACTGCTTAAAGGAGTTATTCGACTTGTTCTAGGGAAAAACAAAAAACAAATTGCTCAACTTGTGCTTGCGAAAATGTTTAAGAATCAGATGTGGGTGAAGGTTTCTGCCCGATTGTCTTTTCGTTTGATTAAAGAAGAATTTCGCAATTCCATCCTTTTCATTGAACAAGAAGACTGATGTAGGTTATATTACAACAAAAAATGCACTTTCGCTGACTTGTGCACTGCATGCCTGGGATATAGGAACGGATATATTGAAGGGGACTGACTGAATCTGAAAGGGGCGTTTAAGTATAGGGGCTTTTAAAAACTTTATAGCCCAATCATAAAAATACATGTACATAGTGATATTTTTGGTTTTAAAGGAATCATCCTCCCCCTACTAGCAGTTTTATAGGGTGGGTCATGGCCCCTTTTTGAAACATAAGTGAAGTACACAACTCTATGACGATTGAATGACCTTGCGTTGTGTGTGTGTGTGTGTGTATGTGTGTGTGTGTGGGAAAGGGGGTTAGTGAATTTTTGAATATTGTGTGTGCCCCCTCTTTTACAAAGTCCTGGATCTGCCTCTGCCCTCCCCTGCCCCACCCCCCTCCTCTCTCTCTCTCTCTCTCTCTCTCTCACTCCCCTCTCTCTCTCTCTTTCTCTCACTCTCTCTCTCTCACTCACTCTCACTCTCATCATAATTCTGTTTCCACAACAAGTCATAATTTCTTTCAGTTACCTTTTGGCGACCTGAAATAGGACTGTATTATATATCAGTAGGTAAGATCATCTCATCACTTTCCCCAGTTGTCTGTCTGCCTGCCCAACCCCCCCCCCTCTCTCTCTCTTCTCCCTCCCTCTCTCTCTCTCTCTCTCTCTCTCTCTCTCTCTCTCTCCCTCTGTCGCTTTTCTTTCTGTATGTTTATACATATGTATATTACATTGTAGACACCATTTCGACTAGTGTTAGACTATTTCATTTTGACTAGGGTAGGGACATTATTTGGGCTGTCACCCATTCAAATAATTTTATGAAAAACAGCTGCATTGGTACACAGAATGATCACATTTGATTGATATGGAATGTCAAACAAATTTTCTTCCAAGAACAGGCATTACCATGGGAAGCGATGCGCAGACCACTTTTCTGTGGTATTTTGTTTTGGCCACTCTTCTGTGACGTCACTAATTCAATCCCACTTACCTGGTAGAGGTTAATGTCTTGACCAGTGAGGGCAGCAGCACATCGGATCAGCTCATTCTTATCACGGGTAGGAACAAAAACGTGGAGAGAGAAGAGGGAATGTATAAAATGTAGCTGCGATGAGAAGGAGATTGCCCCCCCCCCCCTCCCTTAATTGACTCGTCTTACGTGAAATGGTGAAATACCGTGTGTGTGTTTTTGTAATGATATAGCTCACGAGTTTACACGATGATAAACTTATTGTTTATTTCTGCAGATATAAATCACAGTACATTTTATGAACATTCTCTTTTGTACTGATCAATCGAGGTTTGGTAATAATTACACTTGACTAATCTAATCATTCATGACTAAGGAGGAGGAGACGGGGAAGGAAAAGGTCGAAGCAGAAGGGGAAGATGAATTAAGAATAATAAGAATAACAAGAAAGGAAGGAGGAGGAGGAGAATAAGAAGGAGGAGGAGGAGGACATAAAACAATAAAAACCCAAAGCAACAACAATAGCAATAATCTGAAGAACAGCACCCCCCAAAAAAAAAAAGGGGGGGGGGACGACGATAATGGAGATATAAACGATGAACATAAGAAAATAAAAAGATATTCTTTTTTCTGTCTTATTAACTTTACTTTCAAGAGTGTTCCAAAAGAATATCCGGCAACTCTTTGTGCAGGAATACAGAAAAGTATTAATATAGGTTTGCAATTTATAATGGGGAAAAAAAGGGGGGGGGGCTGTAAAAATGTCGTTTATCACGATTCCAAATCTTCCACATTCCAGAGCAGTAGCACAAAAAAAAAATCATTGAGGGGGGGGGGGCATTGGGATCATGGAGGAGGTGGGAATGCTTGGACGAAAACAAGGCCAACGGAATACTACAGGGAAGGATGTTATAGAGGAACATCCTCTTTAAATTGTTCGCAGCCCATTTCTTTAAGTTGTCTCTCATTTTGTATCACCGTTAGAAGGGGATCGAGGGTGTGTGTGCCCCCTGTAACGCCACTGGGCCCACTCCACCCAAAAGAAA